AAAGCAACATTATATGTTTGTCATGTTGCACCTGTATTAAGGAGTGTGAAATGATTACTTTTAAGGTTTTACATCCTCTGGAGGGAAAAACCCAGAATAATGTTACTTTTCTTTCTATGCAAAGTATAAATTGTGTGAACCACCTAATAAAGCTTGAAGATTTAGGACGTGATTTGTTTGTGTGACAGTTCTTCTCACGGTTGTGCAGACTGTTGATAACTGAGAGGAACTGTAAAGCAGTGGAGTCTCTATGGATTCGGGGCCCATTGCACAGGTTTATCTATGGGGCCCCTCTCATCCTCTGTCCCCCTTTTCCCTCCGATTGTGACGCCTCTGCTCCTGTATGACCCTGTCAATCAATATATATTAAAAATGTTTCCTGAGAAGGTCCCCTTTGCTTCTTTTGTGGAGTGGAAGATGAGTCTGTCCCTCCCTTTTTTGGGATTGTGTCCACATCCATACATTTTGGAGGAAATTCTGTTTGTTTGTACGTGTTTCTCTCTTCTCTGAGTTATTTGGTTTTTATAGAAGACAAGTACTGTAATTTTTCTAGACAATTTTTATACATAAATTTACATGTTTGCCTGTGAAACCCCTATTTATTATTTTTTGTAAAGACTTGAAATGTTACTTGGATACTATCTCCATGTAATGCCAAAGCCCTAAAATATTTTACACTGTGGTCAATGTATAATATTTATGCTTCTTTATAATTTATATTTGACTGTGTGTTGCATATTAAAGGGAGAGAGCCAAATATAGAATGGCGGACAAGAAAATGGAGAGAGGACTCCAGGTTTTTATTTTTTTCTCCTTTTTCTTTTTTCAATTATTTTTTTTTTTCCTGGTTCTTCATAGTTTTTTATTGTTGCCAATGTCTGTTATAAGTTACTTATTTGTGCTTTTACTTTTGGATTTGTACAATAAAAAGAAGCCTCATGATTCAAAGCTTTGAGAGTGTCGAAAACAGCGCCATCTGGTGGTTAGTATAAAAAAAAAATAAATAAAGCAGGAAACTCCGTCCGACGAAGCAGCCACCACACATTTCATACTAGATAGAACGCAGTCCTGTAAACTTTGGTTCCGACCACATTAGTGCCCAAGCAAAATGGAGGAGAGGTTGATTATTGCTGTGGCAGGTTTCCCAATGATCTACGACGTGTCCCTGTTTGCATACAGGGGCATTAAAAAAAAA